AATTCTGGCAGAGAAACGTTTGCCATATTTTGAACATTTAAAGGCTGTACTTCTACATGTGGATGTGAGCAGCTTGCGGACTTCTCTCCTTGTTTAAGCATTTCTTATTCTTGAAGCCAAATAGGTTTTGGAGCCCTCTGTGACTGATGCTCACCAGCGGAGTCTGTCAGGAGAAAGGCCTTCCCATGTCAGAGGATCTGCTTGGCTGCAAAGATCAAGTCAACTGTGCCCCTTTTAGTGGGTGTTTTTACGCCCCTATCGATCCAATTTAGATAAATGAGGAGGCTTTGTTTCTGACCCCACCTGTCAGAGCCAACCCTGTTTGAGAGAGGTGCAACATCCTAGCAGAAAGACAGAGATACTCTGTAAGAATTTCTCTCCAATTGGGAATCGAACTCGGATCTCTTTCGTGAGACAGGTAAAAGTCTAATCGCTAAACCACAGACACCGGTGATAGTATATATTTTTCTCCTGTGTGAAAAAACCCGAGAAGAATATCCAACCAGCTGATAACTGACACGAGCAGCTATGGCGTTGTACCGCCTGCAATAATACCTTTTCTCCAACCAAGTACATGTAATAAAGTAAACTTATACACAGCCCGTACGGCCGAAAAGATTCGTCAAATTTAAATTTGATATAGGTAAAGACGACCCGGCTTTCTTACATAGAAAGGCTAACACTACTACGTATTTTGGCATATTTCAACCAAATTATCAATTAATTATCATATTATCTTCGATGTGGACACTCTTGCACCTTGGTTGTTTTAAATATTTCCATTCAGGCCTTCTCCCAGACTTGAAGCGGTCCTGTCGGAAATGGACCTTAAACCCAGCGCACACTGCCAATCGGATTCAACAGAACTGAGTTGGGGTCAGCCAGACTTTTTTTCCACGGAGGTGAAAAGCTACCATTTTGGTAGTATACGACTCATTCGACTCCCGACCTTGAAAAATCAATATATTTTTATTTTGGAGGTCATAATGGGATTTAGTCGAATCTAGTTGCTTGTGCCAAAATGGTAGGTTTTGCCCCATCCGTGAAGGACATTTAGAGTGACCCCGACTCAAGCAAATGACTTTGATTGACATACTGCACTCGCTAATAGATTGGAAGCCTTGCACCTTGAATAACATTATTGATTTGAAAGGAACTTTTAGATGATACCGTAGCACAAATCATAATGAGTAGGTGTAAATATTGCAAAGTCATAGGTTTTCATAATTTGTTTATTATTTTGTACTGTCATGGCAAGAAACAATAAGGGATAGCAAACAGATAAATAGATAAATGAATAAATAAATAAATAAATAGAGAGTACATTTTTTGGCTTCTGTAGACATCCCATTCTTACCCATTTATATTTTTATTTTGTTTTTTTTGCGGTTTATTTGTCATTTTCTCTGTAAAAGGCCAATAAAGTAAATTCTACGTTGTCATTATATTATAGCTGATCACCGTCGTGACCTACAGTTTCAAGAGTAAAACTGTGGGGAATTTTTTTTCTTCTTTTCTTTTTTGTTTGTTTATTTTTGCCGTTGTTAGTGTAAACGACGATTTTTCTTGTGTTGTGGAAACCCTCCCTCCCCCCCCCCTTTTTCCCCCAATTTCTTCTTTTTCAAAAATCTTTTCTCATAAACCCGTCCACCTTTTTGGAGCGGTGCTCCGTTGTTTCCTCTCTTCAAGGAGATGACTCGCCAGCTTGCATCAAACAGAAGAGTTCCTAGCGCGAAGATTCTAGAATCCACTCTGGAACGTCTCCGCTCATATCAGGAAAGGCGGAAATAGGGTCACGTTAGCAGGTCTCAGAAAGGCGTGATAACCCCATCGCCATCTCGTTTGCCGAAAGGAAAGGTGCCCGGCGAACGTTTGACAGACGAAAGTTCACGGGCAGATGGTTGAGGGATCCCAAGCATCCGAGCTATGGCAGCCGATCGTTTGGACGGACAGTAGTGTACCGCGCAATAGCATTGCAGATGTTCCGGGTAGCCACTGCAGTGGATGCACCTACATGACTCGGATACGGTCACCATATAGGTTAGGAAGATGGTCAGGAGAAGCAGCTGTGTCACTGTGTGGGTGAGGATAGGGTGGGGGTTAGGGAGTGGAAAGAGGAAATGTTAAAAAGTTAATGTTTACCGTAAACCAGGCTAACTTTGAACAACACCGAGGGAGATGTGTTCTTGATAGATCGAAATACATTTCAGAGTTCCTCAAGACATGAAGATACAGTCGAAATTGTCGAAGACACCCCCCCCCCTCTCCTTTGTCGAGGAGAAACGGGGTTTGTCAACAGTAGAACAAGGCATATTTTGGAACATCATACACAAATCAGAAACACGCCTTTGTATTTTTCATTGTATGCATTTTGGTACATACCTTGTAAAGTTTCAGATACAGAAAACAAAATCGGAAAGTATGTTTAAACAATAAACAGCGCATCTCCAAGCGTTGTCGAATCATCAGAAGGCACGTCGTCAATGTGTTCTTTGATACAAAGTGTTCAGAGTTCCACTGAGGTTTACAAATAATCAGCTTTTATCAAATGACCTACCTCATTTAAACAATTATTAAAATGAAATTATACCCCACTATTTTGTTATACTTGAGACAACTGTTAGGTGTGTATTTGTTTGTTTTAGATGTCTTGAAGAAGTACCTATTCTGTTATGAACCAATGTCTAAAGGGTGTTTCTATACCTACCCCCCCCCCCCCAAACTGGGCCAGACAAAACCAGAATAGATAAAAGAAAGGAAATGGAATAGCCTTCAACAATAATTTATTTTTAAAAATCTCAAATCCAAAATTTCTTACATTTCTTTCAATACATGTATTTCAGTGTCTTCCACTCACGTTCCTAACAGCGTCCGTAGATCTGCGTGCAGGACAAGATTCCAGCTACGAAACTAACAGATCTGTGTCAAATTCCAAATTACTCAATTATTTCTTGAGTATAATGATATGATATTAATGCATTTCCACCCCCCCCCCAAAAAAAAAGACCAAAAAAAGAAAAAAAAAAGAGAAAAGAGTAACTGTGATTGTGAACGAAACTGATTCTTGAGTCCTTGCAACCACGCTTTTCAGGGATGATTGATTTTCAATTAGTTGAGGACGAAAAAGAATGAAAAAAAACCCTTACTAGTCAAAGCCGAGCTGACACTGTTGGGAAAGATTGCGTGGCTGTTTTGAGTTTCTGAGATTAAAGTTTAGAGTTCCAGTCATTCTAGCATGACGTTTATGGCAGACTTCCAAACCCCTGTGACAGTTCGGGTTAATACAAGGGGGATGCGTTTGACAGTGAAATGACGCTGCTATTCGATTGTCTATCTTCTATGCCAACCGGCTTGTGATACATGGATTATATAGGTAAAATGTTTTTCGGTGGTTGTAAATCGTAGAAAAGTGGGTTGTTAAACCGCCGCCTGGGCACAATTAAAAAACAATCAAACGTCTTTACCATAAAGACTATGCTTACCATAGGCCTACCTGTAAAGGGCAAGGCACACCCTTACAACTTTCTATTTTTACACACGCATTGACATTGTCTCTTCTTTCGAACATACCAAAGAAGTCAAGATCTGAATGGAAGTCAGTAATTCTTAGCCAATCTACTTTTTCTATGTCTACCGCCCAGGCAAAGTAAGATCATGAAATCATGCATACTTATTTAGTCCTCATCTATATCGATGATAAGCCGCAAAGATACAAAAAAAGCCCATTCAAGAAGGTAGTTTGAAATGTGTGGTATTTTTTCTCCGTGTTGACTTTGCTTACCGAATGTCCGTTTTTATAGCAACGGCGAGACATTGGAGAAGGTTTTAAAGAAATCTTGGGGTGTTACACTATTTTTTAGGTCTGTTATGGCATTTTTTAATGAGTTTATCGATTTTAGCGATGTAATTAAAACCTACATTTAGCTCGGCCTAAGGAAATAAGTTATGGAAAGGGTAGGGTGGGGGGTAAGGGGAGAAGGCAGGTTGGAAGACAGAGACCCAAGGAATTGAGAAAGAGGGTAAGAGAGGAACTCTCTCTCTCTCTCTCTCTCTCTCTCTCTCTCTCTCTCTCTCTCTCTCTCTCTCTCTCTCTCTCTCTCTCACACACACACACACACACACACACACACACACACACACACACACACACAAACACACACACACTCACACACACACACACACTTATTTATTTATTTATCTATTCATTTATTTTTTTATTCATTTATTTATCAACTTTTGAGTATACATGACACAAATATAGACATAGTCGAAGTACACGCTCACAGCATCTATCGATCAAAATCCCCTTACCTTTGGCGACCCCGAAATACTTTACACAAGTCCAAATATAGACAGTTGCGAATTCAATATTTCTATCATTATTTTCTTATGAGCTGTAAAAAAACAATAGCAAAAAACCCCAAAACAAAACAAAAATAAAACACAAACGAAAAGACCCCCAAATAACAAAGCCCAACAACAACAACAACAACAACAACAACAACAACAACAACAACAACAACAACAACAACAACAAACAAACAAACAAAAACCCAACAGCCCAGCAGCAATAACAGCTCCACTAGGTGAAGTTACATTACCCTCTGGGTGCGGTACACATTAAAAAAACACGCACAACTGAAAAAAACAAAATTAACAAAAACAACAACAAATATTAAAAAAAAAGAAAAATGCTTCTTTAAAAACAGGATTTGTGTGTCACAGCGCAGTGGAATATTGATTTAGATGAAAATCATACCCGTCTATCTTGAATAGAAGTTGAAATATTCGCGATTCAAGGTGGTGGGGTGGCCTGGTGTCAGAGATAAAATTAGGGAGAAAATGGCGAAAAAATTTGGTGACTTCCATAGCTTGAAAGTACTTAGAAACTGAAAAATTTACGTATTTTGTTTGTACCTTTAATCAACGTTTTCAGTAAAAATCCACACAAAATGTGTTTTTAAATGGATTTCAGCGTTATGAAGCCAAAAAACAAACATTTTGAAAAAATAAATGTCAAATGTTATCTTCAATTGCATTATTTTGACAAGTGCCTGATTTCACCTCGTTGGCTTACATTTCGTAACGAATTAATTCATTTTTATTTTTTTTAAACCGCGTGCTGTTTGTGTGTAGGGGAGGAGACTACACCCAAATGAAAGTCACTTTAGTTCATACTATGGTGAGGTGAAGGATGATGTTTTATCATTTTCTACTATTATTATTATTACCATCATCAGTATTATTATAATCACCATTTTCACGTATTACAGAGATAATCTCACCTTTAACAACCGACGCCATGATCTTCTCTTGGGTGGAAACTAAGTCAAAGCTTCTGACTCAACTATAAGGTTCGGACTACTGGGTCGATTCTCCAAGAGATGATGGGCTCAACCACTGTCTTCCTGCTTCGCCGACTCACTCCTGCTCATCCTCAACTTGACGAGAAGGATACGCAGCTAGCTCGGTGATCAGGATGTACCAACAGGATTGAGGCTTGGCTTGAGTGGACTGCCGTGAATGAGGTTTGGTCCAATATTTATACACAGGCACAGCCTCATAGGCCCCGCCCACATGCGCCATGGAGTTCTGTGATTTATAGATATACTATTCATGTAAAGTATTCTGGAGTTTGCAAAGGTGGGGGGTTGGTGATAGTTGGGATGAGCGTGTACCTTATTTCGAGTAAAATTATGTCAGTGCTTTGTGTCATGTTCGGAAACATCTCTCTCTCTCTCTCTCTCTCTCTCTCTCTCTCTCTCTC